TACTATGTATGTAAATTCTGAAATCCTACTGCCATGCTCCCCGGTTTTACTCGCCTGGCGATTCTTCCAGAAGTTTTTTTGAGATTAAATTATCGATACCATGTAACAAAAGCCAATAATATCGTTAGAATTTATAGATTGATAGTATCTTCAAAACTAAAACGCAAGGGAACAAAAAACAAAATATTGTAATCGTTTATGTATGAATAAGTGTCAGTTAGTTAAGTATTCTGTATATTTTGAAGACTACATTTACAATAACTTTGGACACACTACATACTTAGAGAGTTATTACATTTCACGTTGAAAATGCATGCTTTACTTATTGCATTTTACGTTTTACACTAGCATGTTTTGACGAGTGCACCTACCTTTCTCGTATATACAAAACTTTCACCTAAATTTATTATGACATACTGTTCAAAACGATATACATATGTATGAGTATACTTCTAGACGACCCGATTCCTAATTTTGGGGAACTTCCATCCTCTTCATGGGGTATCAAAAACTTACCTTAAAAAGTGTTTGTTATAATTTTAGCTTTGCTTCATTTATTTTTAATGTGCATGCACAACCAATCGTTCTATTTTTATTCAATTCCGTTTGTTTTTATACTATTTTGTTTTTTATGCATGAATTCTGTTAACAAATTCATTGTAGTTAGAATGGTTTCATTAGGATACATTTTAAATTAAATTCCATTAACCACTTACATAGAATTGAATTATAATAACCTCTTAAGGTTCAATGTATGTAGGTATACAAATTTGTTACCCTTTTGTTAAAAGTTTGCATGACCGTTTTGCATAAATGTTTGGATCGGCTTGCACTGGTGGATGTAGGCTTATTGACATAAACTTTTGACTACAAATAACCCCATAAAAAGAAGTCTAAAGCTGTTAAATCACATGATCCGAGGTCCATTTCTGATCTCCGAAACGACTCGTTCGTTTCGGTGATCAGAAATGGACCTCGGAACACGGACACGACCTGGAAATGTCTCCTGCAGTAATTTAATTGATTCACGGGCTGTATCACATGTAGCACCATCTTATTGAAACCACACATTGGCCACATCAATATCATCCAATTTCTGTACAAAGTACTGTGTTAGTACCAGTAACAGTCAGTTCTTGAACAGCCTTTTTTAAAACGCTGTTCCAATGATGCCCCCGACCAAAATCCACACCAAACAGGTGACACGTTGTGGATGCATTTGTTTTTCAACAATCACATGAGGTTTCCCCGAACCCCAAATGCGACAAATTTGTCGATTAACAAAGCCATCAAGATGAAAATGTGAAATGAAATTTTCGACTGCGACCGCCAAACTTTTATTATTTTTGCGATAGTGTTCAACAATAAATACCCGTTGTTTATATCTGTGTCGGTCCATTTTCAGTAACAATTGTTTAGGTAATTTGAATGAATTACTCACTGATACACTGATTTCAAGTTTTTAATTATTATCTACAACATACTAAGAACAATATAAGGTACAAAATGTCAACCGTAATCTGCTTCAAAACATAAAAACCAGAGACTATATCAAAGTTACATAGAGTGAACATGCAAAATAATCGATTTACAATAAATGATGTTTATACTTTAACACCTTCCTTCATCAGTTATTTTATAAGTAAAGGATGACTTATAAAATAACTAAAACTAATGAATTTAGTATAATAGATAAATAGAATGTTTAAGAAAGTCCTAAATCTTGATTTAGCTTCTTAAGTATTGGACTTAGCACAGGCTTCGTTAAACCGTCAGCAAGTTGATTTTGGGTATCCATTCGCCGGATATGAATTTCACCCTCTTGAACCTTTTCTCTGACAAAGAAATGGTGAATGGAAATATGTTTTGTACGTTTGTGCCACATAGGGTTTTCTGCTAGTTGAATGGCAGCGTTACTATCACAAAAAGCGTACCTTCTTTAAAGTCAGTTATCTCTTGAAGAAGCCCTTTGAGCCAAACCATCTCTCTTGCACCCTCACTTGCAGCGATGACCTCTGCTTCAGTGGTAGAGATGGAAACTGAACTCTGCCTTTTACTAGACCATGATATGACACCTCCTGAATATATACAAGCAATGCCAAAAGTAGACCTACCAGTTAATTGATCACCACCAAGATCTGCATCAGAGTAGCATTGAAGAATTCCCCTTCTATGGTTTTTCTTGTACAATATTCCAAGTTCAGAAGTCCCTTTAAAATAACGGAATATTCGTTTGACCCTCACTATGTCACTATCGGAAGGATTATCAAGCATTCTTGAAGCTATGTTGATAGACATATACATACAAACAAATACATGAGCGAACACACAGCTTCTCGATATTGAAAATTCGTTGTCTTGATGTTTCCTTGTTCCTTTTCATTGTCTAAATCATCCTTTAAAATCGGAGTACCCGTAACCGAGTGACCCGTTCGATTTAATATATAGGCTGAAGCATTAATCATTTCTGCCCATAGCTCCTTAGGTAAAGATTCTTCTCCGGGGTGCATAAGGGCTCTTGCAGTTTCTACAATGGTGCGGTTTTCTCTCTGCGCAGCCATTTTGTTGTGGCGTGTATGGCATAGTATGTCTGATTTCAATACCTTTTGATTTGAGGAACTTTTCTACTCTTCTATTTTTTAACTCTCCGCCATTGTCACATTGAATGCACATTGCTTTATGACCTATTTGGGTTACTTCTGCTAAAAATTCCTTTAATTTTTGAAAGACTTCATCCTTGGTTTTAATAAAATAAACTCTTCTAAATTTTGAAAAATCATCCTTAAATACCAGAAAATATTTAAACCCACTTTTCGAAGGGATAAATGGACCACATACATCAGTGTTTATAACCAGTCTTTTCAGCTCTCTTTCGACGTCCAAACTTGAGTCTATGAGCTTTTCCTTTTATGCAGCCCTCACAGAGTTCACCATCAAGAGTTAGATGTAAATTGAGTTCTTTTTAACTACTTCCTTCACATGCCGTTTATTTTGATGAACCATCCTTTCATGGTAAAGCTGTAATAAATTATGATCTTTGATAGGCACAGATATATTGTTATTTTCAGCTCTCATTTGTGGGTACTACCCTAATGGCTAGATTATAGGGACCACCTCCAATTTGACGATTCCCTGACACAAGAGTTTCTTTACCTACAAATAATTTACAGCTAACTGCAGTGTATTCAAATTTACTCTATGGTCTATGATCTTGAGCCACTAAAAGCGTAAAAAGATTCTTAGAAATACCCGGAACTAGCCAGACATTGGTGAGTTCAAATCTTTTCCAATGGCCGTTAGACGCAGATTCAATTAAAATAGATCCCTTACCAAGTGCCTTTACTTAAGAGCCCTCCGCCGTAATAATTACATGGTCATCTCTAAATGATTCAATACTTGTGAACCATTCATTTCTACTACATATATGATGTGTCGCTCCATTGTCCACATACCAAGCCTCACTATTAGTCTCAAATGCAAAAACCACCTTTGCTTGAATTATTTTGAGCAAATTTAGCCTTGGCAGGCTTAGGTGGTTTGCCATCGGCAAGCCAAAACCGACATCTCTGAACTGTGTGACCCCTTTTATCGCAGTAGTGGCAAATCATTGAGGTTTTATGAAAATTATTAGTATTTTTATTCCGAACATGCTTATGAAATCGAGATGTGGTCCCCTTAGCAACCAAAACTTCTTCTGAACAACTATCACCCAGGTTGCTCTTAAAAATACATATTTTTTGAGTAAGATTATTTAAACTCCTGTTCTCTTCATTTATGAGTCTCCATGCAGCAGTAAAGGGTTTGAATTTATCAGGAAGGGATTTTAAAATTTTACATAAAAGTAAAATATCTTTGTTATCAGCAGGTTACTTATCAATTTCCTCTTGCAACTGTTTCCATGCATTGGCAATTCTAGTAATAAATGTAACAGCATCATCTTTGGGCACTACTTGCTTTCAAAAAAATTATTAAACAAATCAAAAATTCTGTCTTCTGAAAATGTATGAAAAAGTTGACAAAGTCCTAACCGCATATCTCTACCAGACTCATGGCGTCTCACATTTTCAAACTTCTCTGACATGTTATTAGACATAACCAGCTGTGCCTGGTTGTCAATTTTATTAAATGTAGCCAAATCTATATTATAAGCTTTCACAGCTTCTTTATTAGTTGTATCAGGGTCTAAAGGACACTTGTAAGTTCCATCTATTATGTCTATTGCCCTAGGTATCATATCAAACACATCATGATATTAGTTCAGCAGTCGGAAATCAACATTAAGTTTTAATGCTCTACTGGTTGAGCAGTAGGGCTAGAGGTTTTTTTTCTATATTTTTCATTTATATTCTGCCGCCGTTTTTATTTTTAATAAAAACATGGCCACGACTGCTATGTTTGCCTGTCCGGAAAAAACTAACACACTGGTAAGCGTGTAAATAGCATCCAAGCGTTTGTAAAGGCTTGAAGCCTGTACACCAAGATTCCCAAATTCGTCCCAGGATAAACGAAAACTGATTTTGGGGGTTGACGAGGTCTAAAAATCCATTTCTATTAATTAACACAAGTTCTCATTTGAAACTTTCTAGATGTTATAAGAATGACTAATATTTTAGTAGGAAGTATCATTGTTGTACTTTTAAAAAACTCAACAAGTCGATTCAGTCATCAGTTCGATTTAGAGAGGGGGCTACTCAAAATAGTTTGAGGAACCCTGCTTATACGTTTGCCAAGCCTTGGCAAGCGTGTAAATTGGATATTACTTTATACCCATCCCTAATTATGTATCGGTTAGTATGTTTCTGAGTAAGAAATTACTTTCTTGAAAAATGTTAATTAAGTAGAAAAATTACTTATGTATGTACTGGCGCCTCCTAGCTGTAAAGTCCGACTTGTAAAAATATCTGAAAAGATTTACTTGCAGAAATAAATATCATTTCATTTCATTTGAATCATGTTTCTTGTACGAATAAATAATCATACTATTTTTTTTACTGTTGCAGAATTTCCTGCGCCCGTTTCGTGAACATCACATTGACCCTACATCAATTACGAGGCATGATTTCATTGAGACAAATGGCGATAATTTTGCCATAACCATACCAGTTTTAGCAAGGATTGTTTGGCAGCTTCTTACCTACGATGACCGCATCATCGATCAACAATTTAATTGGATTGCTTACTGGTACTTGTGTTGCATCTTTGTGGCGATGACAAATCAGGTAAAAAATGTTCACACTTTAAATGTGTACGATATAATTGTGTTGAATACGAAGGTGGTCTGAATAGTTCCCGACCTAACAAAGATACAAGACCTTTTTTCAGATTTTATTTTTCAACATAGTCTCCTTGTAACTCTACACACTTCTCCCAGCGATGCTCAAATCTCTGTAACCCGTTCAAATAGTACTAGGCGTTTTTCTCTGCGAAATATAAGGTCCTTACATATGAAATTAGCGTTTTGTCGTACTGACCACTTTGATCTGAAATATCTCCTCTTTGGTTAAGCATTCCAAATACAAATTTATAAATTCATTTAACTGGTACATTTGAGTTTTGAAAACAGTCATTCATTTGCTTTTTCCTCGTTTTTTTTTCTTTGGCGTCGCTTATTACCTCACCATAGAAAACATGAAATATTCAACCTTCAGAACCAACCCCTTGAAAGGCCGGAGACCATAGCGAAAAAGGAAGAATTAAAGGCTATTGTGCACAAAGCACTTCAGAGATAGCTGCAGGCTTCGTGGTAAGTGATAAAACTGTATTAATCCACTTGAAGCAATTGGGGAAAATAAAAAATAACTTGAACGATGGGTGGGTACCTCATGAATTGAGTGAATCGAACTTGCCCAAATCCTGCCCTAAACGAAAATTGACTCAAAAAAAGTTACTAGTGTGTGTTTGGTGGACTAGTGTCGTTCACTACAGCTTTCTAAAATCTGGCCAAACGATTACGGCAGATATCTTTTATCAGCAACTGCAAACCATGAAGGAAGAACTAGCTGTTAATCGCTCTAGGCCACTGCTGCTTCACGACAACGCAATACCACACACTGCACAACAAACAACCACTAAATTAGATGAGCTACAATTGGAATGTCTGCGACATCCACCATACTCCATGGACCTTGTTCCAACAGATTATCATTTTTTCCGGCATTTGGACAACTTCTTACAAGGAAAAAAATTCAACTCCGATGCGGCAGTCCAAACCGCCTTCAAAGAGTTTATTGATTCTCGCCCCCCATGGTTTTTTAGTAAAGGGATCAATGAACTAAATATGAGATGGCAAAAGTGCATAGGTAACAACGATGCATACTTTAATTAAAAATATTTTACAAAAAAAAAGACTTTATATTGCACCCGTACAAAACGCCAATTTCATATGTAAGGACCTAATAATTGTTCACGCAGGTTCGCCTCTTGATTTGATGAAAATATCTGTCCTCTGAGCGCAAATTTTAAATGAGGGAAAAAGAAGTCGCTTAGGGTTAGATCTGGTGAGTAAGGCGGATGGTCAAGCATTTCAAACCGTAATTCTTGGATTTTCGCCCTGGCAACCGCTGAGGTGTGAGTCGGTGCGTTGTCTTGGTGAAACAGGCTTTCCTTTTTCTGCAAATGTGGCCGTTTTTCTGCAGGTTCTGCCTTCAGCTTCTCAAGTAATGATGCGTAGTATGCTCCTGTAATGTTTTTTTCTTTTTGGAGATAGTCGATTAAAATAATCCCAAAAAAAGTCGCCATCACTTTTCCAGCCGAAAAACAGTTTTTGCATTTTTTGGAGCCGGTTCCCCCTTTGCAGTCGACTGTTTGAACTGTATTTTTGTTTCGGGCTCATAATGGCGTATCCAAGTTTCATCTACAGTAATTAATCGGCGCTAAAACTCAGATTTATTGCGCCTAAACTTCGCCAATAGAGCGTTGGAAATGTTCATTCGAACACGTTTTTGGTCTAGCGTGAGCAAACGCGGCACCCAACGCGCGGACAGCTTTCTCATGTCTAAATGTTGATTTAATATGTGACAAACACGTTCTTTTGACATGTCCATAACCTCTGCTATCTCTCTCACTTTAATTCGGCGGTCGTCTAACACCATTTAGTGAACTTTGGCGATGTTTTCGTCGGTAGTTGCAGTTTTTGGACGGCCCGAACGTTCATCGTCTCACAAGCTCTTGCTCTTGGACACGTTTAAATTCAGCTGCCCAAAATTTCACTGTAGTAAATGATGGTGCAGAGTCCCCATACACAGAATCCAACTCATCTTTGATTTGCGTAGGCGTATTGACTTTGAAAAACAAATATTTAATGACAGCTCGATACTCGATTTTGTCCATTTTCATAAAAACACTCACTCAAACGACTGTTACATAACAACTTTGCGTCCAAAATGGCTGAAACTTTGGCGAGTAACTGTCAACAGATGAACAACGAAATTCACTAGCTTTTCTTCACGAGTGCTGCCATCTCCGTGTTGAAGTCGGAAACTTTTCAGACCACCCTCGTATATATGATGACCCATTTGGCCGTATATGTATATATATATTCAATATGTATATACATGTATGTATGCCACATGTGTCATTTGATGTTTAGGTTGACTTTACAACAAAGGTCTGATGATAGTTAACTATCTAGAGACATTTGTGATAAAACCGGCTTAAAAATCAGCAAAAACTAACTTTCACACTGTTGTAAAATCTTATAGCTAAATTTAAGGATTCTAGTACAACTGTTGTAATAGGCGTTTTCTATTAGGCAAAGGAGGTAGTAGAACAATAGACTACTATTTTTTTTGTTAAATGTCCTAAGTGAGGGTTTATACTTGAGTATTTTAAACATATTTGTTTGTAATGCTAATATCGGTAATAATATAGGGTCTACATGATATAATTTCGTTTTATATCGTTCATTTCAGATTCATAAATGGTCTCATACGTATTTCGGTTTACCTACGTGGGTAGTGTGGTTACAAGAATGGCACATAGTGTTGCCGCGCCGCCACCACCGAATTCACCATGTAGCGCCGCACGAGACTTACTTTTGCATCACCACTGGTTGGCTTAATTGGCCACTAGAAAAATTGCACTTCTGGTCCACCTTAGAGACTATAATAGAAGCGTTAACTGGTTGTAAACCGCGAGCCGACGACTTGAAATGGGCTCATAAGCGTTCCTAGAAGTAAGGGTCCTTAAAAGAAACCCTTTTATACAAATCGTCCACACCTACCGAATCAATTAATAGAGTAGGTTAAATATTTTGCTAAGAAAGACGAGCTGTTGTGAATTATAAGTTGCTAATATAATATAAATATGTCAGATGATTTAAATCATTTTTACGTTCTTATGTCTGATTAATATTTTTATAATTAAAACAGACAAAGTGTCAGATCATGCATGATAGTCAAATATATAGGTATTAAATTAAGTAATTGCCGTTTTAAATGAATAAATTCAAACATATTTTTCTAACGAAAAGTTTTTTAAATTAGTACTTAGGTTATCCCCTATTATGTTTAAAATTTTATCATTTTGATAAAAGAACTGTAGTATTATGCACTTGAGATAAACCTTACCGGTACTGGACTCATCATAAAAATATTAGTGTTGTTTCCTAAAAATGTACTTCAAGGTCTTGTTAAAATTTAAAAAAGGAGTACATAGTTTGGGCTAGGTCCATTAGCAGTAGTAGTATAAAGGATAATGATGTTTGTTATAAAGCGACGATTGCGAATATTTGACTGATAATGGTGCTAAATCTGTTGTTCGAAATCTCTCTAAACTAAACTAAAAACCGCAAAAAAAAATTTGTCCTGTCAAATATTACGTTTTCAGAATAGGAAACGCCAGGACTAAACCATTTTTTTGTGATTTTTAGTTTAGTTTAGACAGTTTTCGATCAACAGAATTAGCACCATTGTGTTGTTAACAGAGGACTTCCAACCAGAATACTTATAACCGTACCTTCGGTATGGATCGGATTTGGTTGTTTATCATTTGAGGCTTCGTCGTGTCGTTGTTTTCTCTTATCATCATGAACGCCTGGAGGTTTACCTACTAAATAAATGTCTACGTCTCTCTAGAAGTTTTTTCACCCCTGTACTATAACCAGTGTAAATGGTTACAGTAATCGGTGAATCAAGACCTAGTAACGTCAGATTCTGAAATAGCAAATTGCCTTTTATTTCACATACCTAATAACTATTATAAAAAATGTTTTTAGCGATTTCAAACTTGCGGAAAGACAATTGACGGTGGTATATTTATCTATTGTCCGATTTTTGTTATGATGTAATATTTAACTCAACTAAGTGCAAACAAGTAATTATAATTTTTCTTTAGTACCTATGTCTTGTTTCTTCTGCATTTAGTATTAATCGCGAATAGCAAATTTTATTCAAAGTTCTGACTATTTAAAACGGCAATCAAATTCTTTGACACCTTTTTATTACTTTGTATTAGGAGAGAAATTGGTTGAACACCTCATAAAGAGACAGAGATATTAAGGTATTAGCTTTTAAAAAATAATATGATAAATATACATAACATGTATTGTTGAGGAATGAAAAGTGCCTATAATAAAAGTACACCAGTAAATAGTTTACCTTTTCTACAAGTCTAGATTCTTGTTATTACATACATAACTCTGTATCTACTATATTCTAATAGTAGTACGTATTTCTGTATATCTAGAAAAATATTGCGCTTTAGAAGCAAATCATTGAAACAACGTCTGTAATGTTATATAGTATTGTATTAACGTGGCCTTGTGTATGAGTAAGTAAATGCGATAGCAAAGTTTTACATTAAACCTTTGTAAAAGAGAACAGACCATCATGCATGAGGCTTGGCGATCAATTATTCCGTAAGATGGCGTCTTTTGATTAAGTGGTTTTGGCAATACTAAACATGCATTTGATATTAATACTAAATTAAGGAAGGGTGATCCTTTAATGTTTCGTGATAGAAGTCAATTTATGACAAATTGTATAGGTAGGTACATATAAGGTGAATGATATTATTGCTTTCGAAACTACCGCAATTTAGTATGTTAACAAAAAAATAACTGCTTTAAATTATAAATTTCGATATTATATTTACACAAATTTTATATGAACAAAATACACGCGTGACAATATTTGAAATAACAATTATTATAGATACAGTAAAGTATAAGCTATCTCATAATTAAATAATTCACATAAGTTTGTATGGTTAGCACAAGTTATAGTAAGTTCTTACTATAGCACTCTCTTTTTACTTACGTGTATGCATGGCGATAGTTATGTATAAACATATGTCTCCTATTTATCCCAGTTTTGTTCAAGGATTTACATATATAGCCAAATTTAAATGCCCCAAATTGAGCTAGGCACCCAAATGGTATATTATTTTATAATTTATTTTGTTTTGTAGGGCACACACTTGGACTTACTGTCTTGTTTTTAAAATTTATTTATTTTATGGGCCATCTGTAAATTACGTCACATTATTTTATGATTTTTATACTTTGTCTGGCCTTGTCTGAGGGGGTCCCATTTATGATAGTGACAGTGATTATCACATTCAACCAAAGAACAAACTAGCTTTATTGATTAGTATAGTATAAGTGAGCTTTATTGAAAAGAAGTTCCTTATCGCTCGTTACACGCTCTGAGCGGATGAGAGCAAGATCGAAAAATGTGTGACAAGACTTTTTGCCGACACTTCTTGCGGAACTTCGTTCCGACCGGGGGTCCATAGTCCTCTCACGCGGTCTTTTAGTTAGACTTTTGAAGGCCTAGAATTGTTAGTAAAAATAAAATTAAGTTTTTCATTGCAAAGAAAATTCTCAATAGAAAAGACAAAAACATTACATTCTGAAGCTGATATAGAATATACTTATTTTTCGATGTGCGCACGACAATTATTATTTAGCATTGCAAATACGTAATTTAGGAGAGCTTCTTTGGTTATTTTAATATTCACTACTCTTTGTTATCTATACTTTAAATTTCATAGGGATCTGTAGGTAGTCGGTTTTGAACTAAGTTCGTTTTTGTAATACTTATCAGCTGTTTACGTAATACATTCGTCACCACTTCTAATTTCTACAGATGCTGAACATTTTCATTTTAACATCCTATGTAGTGCTAATTGATTGGAAAAGCTCAGGGTAAATGAAGGGTAACTCATATTTTTCATAAACGGTCTAAGGATGAACTCAGATTGAGCGGCGTAACCGCGATAGTTTACAAAAACACACTCGGGATTGCTCCAGCATTACCCAACCTGCGAAAAATAACAAATGTTGATTGCTCCTGTAATTGTCAGCACAACCTGAGTTGATCCTGAGGTCTGTATGTGTATACAATACAATTGCCATTTAGCTAATTAATATATGAACTATAATATTTCGAATTTTTATTGTTGCCAATCCCTGTCGGGTGAAATAATATTGTAGACTAGACTTGTCAAGAGCTTCAATATGTCAAATATAAACGACTCATAAATAAAATGCCTTTGACATTTCATACGCCGGTAATAGTACTTTAATATTCATTATTTAATGTGGGTAATTAATTTGATGTAATTTTTTTAATAATAAAGAATATCACCACAAAACGTGGTGGTCTATCGAGGGCATTACTTCACAGTAATGGCCTGTTGCACTAACCCTAGAGCAACATACGGGTTAGGTATAGCTTTCGAATCTTTTTGTATACCCTTCGTATTTGTCTTTATGAACTCTAATAGAAGTTAGCTTGATTTAATGGATACGTTTCCACTTACAATAGATGTTATCTGGATAGGTCTTATTGATTATCTATAACTTGCCTACGTTTGGCGAATAACAAAATATTTTGGTGCTATTAGGCATTTATTTAATATTTATAGGGGGTACACTAAAGAAATACGAAAAACTTAATTCCGTCAGTGACAAATACTTTCAAAATACCGATATCATAATTCCGGATGGTTCAAAATTCCGAATATAACAACTCCGCTTTATCATTCATCCTATTTTTATAAAATTAAAAAATTTCATACATTTCATTTTCAAATACCGAGTTTCAATAGACCGAATAACAAATAGTCCGACTTAATGATAATTCGAAACATCTAAAATTCACCAGTTACCAACAACAGAGTGGATCTGGAGCTCTTGATGCGCTCGCTTGCCATCGCGCTTTAATGGTCACAACAGTGCTAACCTAACCTAACCCAAAGCATTCACCAATAATAGAGACTATCTGGCGTTAATCGCCACTATTCTAACCTAGCCAAAAGTAATTTTTTCTATATTCTATAATAGTAGGTGATACGCGACGCGGGTATAAAGAGAAGAAGAGAACACAAAAAAAAAAACACAGTAACAATAACCAAGTAGACTTTTTTAAATCACATCAAACGTTACTTATAGATTTTGAATACATATGTGTAACTGAAAACCATTTTAACTGAATCAGAATTAATTCCTAAGTATTGAAAATCGGAATATCATTTTTCGGACCGGGAACCCCTTTAGCATTTGCTCCTTCGAACGTATAAAAATCGGCAAACAAACAAATCGCATTTACGACTTTCGGTAAAGTAAATTTCGTGAATTTTAATAATAGACATTATAATTCTTAGGTGTTATGAAATTCAGACTTTTGAAAATCAGAACATCGAAATTCCGAATAAAATATTTCGGAGTATGTAGGTATTCCCATTTGGAGGCACTCTGTCTAAAGCTACAAATAATGTAAGCGCCTCCAGGCGAAAATCAAATTAATTATGATTTGTCCAACTGTTTATACAATTGAACAAATTCAACGAATTAAGTGTGATTAGTTCAACTATATGCTCGGTTAAACAAATCCAACTAATTAAATGCAATTTGTTCTTTTTTTTATGTTAGAGGGGGCAGACGGGCAAAAGGGTCACCTGATGGAAAATGACCATAGCCGCCCATGAACGTCTGCAACCTTTTAGGAAGGAGTACGCTCTTTTCTTGAAGGTTTAAAGGTCGTATCAGTCCGGAAATAGTGCAGACTATAACCCGTTCCACAGATTGTTTGTGCGAAGCAAAAAGTGTCTCGAAAACCGCACAGTAGTGGAGCGCCAACTATCCAGGTAATGAGGATGAAAATTTTGCCATGTGGAAAGATGACGGAAATTTGTGGCTGGTATTAGTCCGAACAATTCCTCGGAGCAC